TATTAAAAAGTTCAACAATTTCAAATAATTGTTCCTTTCCATATTAGATAGCTTCTCCATACCTTGAATACAATTTACAGCACAAGATTGATATGAAAAAGTATGAAAATCAAGGTTGAAATTGAATTTTAGGATGAAATCCATGCCTAAAACTAATGTGTGTGTAATGGAAGGAACTATTATGAATTTAATGACATGAACTTTGCCATTAAAACCTACTGGTAGCAAAACAAAACCTAAAGTATTTTGCATCTGGCCGTCAGCAGTTGTTAATTGCAAGGTACTGTAATCAATGTTGAGATTTAATTTACGTAATAAGTATAAGCCAGATGAACCTAGAATGTTGGCATTGCTTCCAGTATCAAGCAAAGCTAAAATGTTTTCATCACCAATGGATATTGAAAGATGTGGACGATTGTCATTTGGTTTTTGATTAAATGGTTCTGAATGATCATTTGATGGCATACCTGCAAGTTGTGAATGATTAATGTCAAAATCGGGATTAATTGCTGAAGGTTGTCTTAACTTGGCTATTTGTTGGACTTCAGAATGAGACCTGGAGTTGCTTTGCCCTTTACGTCTATGACTCCTCGAGTCTGGGCGAAAGAAGTTCCGGGAGTCGGATTGGAAACTTCTTGCCTCACGTTTTTTGAACAGGAAGGACAATTAGAGCGTGTGACATTTTTCATACCACAGGTATAGCAATAAACAGCCTTAGGAGCTCTACAGTCTCGAACAGAATGTCCTAGTTTCTCGCAGTTCCAACATACAGGAGCTTTCTGTGAGATGATGGAGTACTATCAGAAGTAACCAAGCTGGAAGTGGAAAGTCTATTGTGGGGTTGACAAGTGAAGAAGGAATCCTCTAATATCCTACAAAGTGATGTTAGCTCAGGAAAGTGGAAATTTCATGAGAGCAAGTGACTTTATGAAGTCATGCAATAAAATTTCTACGGACAATATTGACCATGTCCTTTTCTGTAAATGTATTGTAGGTTAATCTATTGAATTGAGATTCCATGAACGAAATGAAGATCGTAACCTGTTCATGCTGACCTGTTTGCGTCTACGAATCTCATCAATTAGGTTCATATCATAATTGTCACGTAGAAAAGCATCGTTGAGTTGTTTAATCAGTCCTGCCAATCATGAAAGCTATTTCTTAGATGGCCATTATGCCACCATGTCCAGACTACATCTTCAAAGAGATCACCTGCAGATGCATAGAGATCCATCTCATTGCAACCACGGGAAGACATTAGAGATTCGACAATTTCTAGAAATTCAATAACTGAGCTATTTCCAGAAAATTTTTTGATTCCCCATTTGAAACTGGTATCTTTTTATGTGGAGCAAAATTTATAGGAGAGAGTGGCTGTGTATGTACTGGAGGAAATACTTGAGGATTAGCAACAGTCACAGGCGGATTTGATGCCAATGGAATAGGACGAGATGAAACTGATGGAGGAGACGATTGAGCAGATGGCATCTGAAGCTTCTCTAAAAGATCAGATTCACACACAACAAGTTGTGTCTTCAATCTAGATTTTGTACTTATCTCCTCATCACAAGTAGGAGACATTCGATCTATCCTACCAGATAGATGCAATAAGCGCACACAAATTCTGCGATGTTCAACAGAATCAAATGCACCAGTAAATCTAGAGATCATCTCAGTGAGTTATTGAATGAGAGTCTTATCTCAGTCTCATCCTCATCAAAAGGAATAGTCACAGAAGGTTCTGAGAAACTACGCCCTTGAAATTCCTGTGCTAATAAGCCACGTAAAACTTGACGTTTATCCTCCACGGTATTAGGGACTTCCAACCTCTGATATGAATCTCGTAGTGGAATTCATGACTTAATAAGTCATTTGGGCTTAGTCTAGACTGAACCATGATGAGAAATAAACCTCAAAGAACACTTGAAAGAAAAAAATTAAAGTTAAAACCTGAATACGTCAAGAAATGACAAGGATCTAAACACTATAAAAAACTAACAATACAAACAAAAAGTTTCAATACAAAAACAGGAGCAGCCGAATCTTAAAAAAATTATTTTATATCTGACATACATTAAAAGAGTACAGAGACGTTCAAGTCCTGTTAATCCAATGGAAAATCAGACACTAATGTTCTAATTTCCCCCAAAGAATATGCCAGATAAAACTATAAAACATTAAAATTATGAAAACTTTTGCTCCAAACAAGAGACAAAATTACTACAATAGTTACTGAGGAACGTATACTATTTCAACAACAAGTTGAAGTTTAATTATCATAAATGAGTATGTGTGTCTTTGTATAGGTAAAAATGATTTAGGAGTCACCCCCTCATTGAAAAGTAGCAAAAATATAGTCAAGAAAAACATCATTTGTTTCTTGAAAAAAAAGTAAGTATCAAGTACTATGTCCAAGTGTCAATACTTGAAAAAAAGTAAACCGCCAAAATATACGAAAAATTATGAATATCAATTTCATATAATTCAGAAAAATGGATAAATCGCAAAATGATTTACTCCAGATAACTCTAGTCAGTAGATTATTGCCATCAGAATGAAACAAATGATCAAAAGTTCAAGTACAGTCAAAAAATTCAAAAAGTAAAACATTTGGGGAAGGCAAAAATAATTTTGAAAGTAAATTTCCTACGTACCAAACATCATGAGAGCTATATCAGTACACCAGAGATCCAACAATTAGGCTATATATGCATACATGAAAAGTCTCAAGAAATCAAAAAACTGCACATGAAGAAATACTTTCAAAAACTAAGAGGTTAGTGATCAAAAATGAAAAGCATATAAGAATATGTAAACTATCAACAACAATAGTCACAACCTCAATCAAAAGTTTGATGATATTCGACAAAAATGCTGGGAAACCTAAAGTCCCCAGACTATCAATATTCAACAAAAAATATCATCATCAATCTCAAAAGTACAATGAGAAAAAAGTTATAACTGTCCCCAGCAGTAAATAAAAACTAGTAGTATGTGAGAAAAAAAATTCTGGCAATGATCTCGCTGACTACTAAACAAGACAATTTAAAAGTTAATAGTATGCCTATGAAATAAACAGGTGGAAAAATTTTAATCTTTTGATAAAAATTTTAAACATTAAGCAAAAAGTAAGGATGATTAAGGAATTAGAAATTTGAGTACCAAAAGCAATTAAAAATAGAAATGCTGCCAAAGATTGTAAAGAATTTTGAAAACTATGTTCTGTCTGCCAATCTTCCACTAGCAAACCACTTGTCGACAAAGCCAAACACCTATCGAAGCCTCACGTTGCGGGTGCCAATTTATGTAACGCTTCCTTTCCGCAAAAAGTCCAGAAAAGATGGAATGCAATGAAGATTCCAACTTTTCTGCACAATCACAGAAAGGGGGTTACCATTAGACATCTACAGGCGTGTAGCTGTGTGTCGACCATGGCATGGCTAGAGGATAGAAGAACAAACAGAACACAAAAATTTAACAGATTTTATTTAACAAAAAAAAAGGCATTTTCATTACATTACAATTTTACAAATAACAAAAATAAGTTTTACATCTTTGGCGCTGCTATAACTATCGACTTATCTTTCGCTGGTCCATTTTACTCGACTGAAGCCAGGATGGCCAGGGGCTTGAAGGGAGGTCCCAGTTATGAGGGGTGACCTCCATATAGTGGCTTCAACCAGTTGTAGGCGAAGTTAAAGGCGATGGCGCTGCCAAGGCACATGCATGGGTGAATGATAGGCCAAGCCAAGGCTAGGCAAAGTGAAAGGGAAAAGGCAGAGAAAGAGGAAAGAAGAGAAAAGGAAAGAGAGAGGAAAGGAGAGAAAGAGAAAGGAAGGAAAGAGAAGAGAAGGAAAAAGGAAAGAGAAAGAGAAGAAGAGAAAGAGAGAAGTGGGTGGCCCCAATCATTTTGTCCTATACGGACACACATTCTACAAAATTCTAGCAATTGGTGCTATATGACCTTGTGCTACAGAAAGAAATTTTTAGCTCTTTTCGATCGGCGGCTCTAGTGAAAAGGAAGCGCGAGGAAGATCGCAGATCAGGAACTCCGCATCAAGCGGTCCAAGCGGAAAATCTTCCAAGTAAAAAAGCTAGAGATGGGATTAATGATTTGCGATTCTGAAATGATAATCGAGAAGTGATTTAATAAATACGATCGGACGGTGAAACCGTTACAAAACCAACCAATCAGGAAGGATAGAACGTGCCAATAGATTTCATGGTAAACTGGAAACATCCGAAGACACTATTTGGAGGCAATATATTGATATTT